CTCTCTCTCTCTCTCTCTCTCTCTCTCTCTCTCTCTCTCTCTCTCTCTCTCTCTCTCTCTCTCACAATTGTATTACTATGTATACTTGTTGCGATATGCTGTTCTTGAATACCTGTTGGTACTAGTATTTTACTAGTAATTATTAGGGTGCCAGGAGAGTTAAATATCTTAAAATTCATGGACTTGGTCCAACTATGCTTTAAACTTTTCGTATGTAATTACGAAGTCCATCTCATCGACGATCTTTATATATCAAAGGATAAGAATAAATTATGTACAAGATAGTCGGTGTGTTCCTTAGAAAACAGTTCTACAGACTAGGATTAAGAGATTAAATGGTGGTTCCATAAACAGTGAAAACGCGCGGTGTACTCGTGCATCGTCCGTACGTCGCTTTACTGTAAAACTGCTTTTGAAGTTTAATATAGCAAACTGTTTTATAACGTGAGATAACCAAGACTATCATCCTAGACCACGCGCGCGCGCGCGCGCACGCGTGCGAGTACCATACCTTACAATCAGCATTAATGAGTCACCGATACGGATCGTTTAATCGGATCTGATCTAAATGCCAAACAGTTTTCTCGTGAAACTCAATAATTTGTCTCAATTTAATAACAATTTAGGCATCCGCCTCTGGAGCGAATTAATCTAAATTCAAAAGAATGACGTATTACGTGGTGTAGGATGATCAATTCGGAATTAATTAATGGCTGCATCGGGCAGCGGGCGCAGAAAACGCGCGTTGTGAGTTTTATACCGTGTAAGCGCGAACACACATACTGCTCGCCAGTAGACATACATACACATGTATATATGTATTGTTATGTTATTGCCTAATAATTACGAAATAGAACGTTATGAGAATTATAATTTATATTCTTTCCTTTTCCTCCTCATCAGAGACGTCTGTCCAAAGAGATTGTCCAAGAAGATTTGCCTGTGAGTATAGCTTACCCGAGTATGTTTTACGCGAAACTGCAATACAATTATCATCTGTTTATTACATCGCAGCTTTCACACATGACAAAGTTACTAATTATCCTTGAAAAGAGAATCAGCCGAAATGGCTGTATAACTGTGGAAAACAGCAACGTTATACAGAGATGCGTTATATTAATTTAGAAGATAAGTATTTTATCTATAGCGGTTACTTGCGCAAATGTACTCACGATTAATAATAATTTTTCAATGTTGCGAGAATTAGCAGTTTTGGAATATGGTCTACATTTACGTATATATCTTACCCTGGTCCTGTAATTATAAATTACGTCACTATTTGTCACGTTTTGATTATAAAACAATCGCTGAAACAATCGCGATAAATAAGAGTGGTCGTTATATATTAAGGATTATCACATCAATTATCTCATATTACCAATTAATCAGATTACTATCAGTAAAAGGGTTTTTCATGTCACGTTTGATACACGCGATCCGATAACGTCACAGTCGCAGTTTTCAACGCCACAAAAATCTCATTATATATTACAACGTAGAATAAAGTTATGTTTCTTAATTATTCTATCACTTCATTATCAGCTTTGTTATCGGTTTCTTTTCCTTCATAAAAAGTAAACCTTTATAGAAGTTTTATAAGGAGAGAAATTTAATTATCTTAACTAAAAAGTACGATTTATTATCATTTTAAATCTTCCGTATTTAAATATAATTTTTAATCTGCATACAAATTGTCTCTTTTTCCCTCCCTCTCTTGTTGGCCTTCCAATTCCCTCGCTCTTGTATCTTCTCTTCCTTCCTTCTGTTCTTTTTTCCTTTTTTCCATCCTCTCTCTTTCTCTCTCTCTCTCTCTCTACTAGAAATAAATAAGATTTTTCGTAAAAATTGTTCATTAATATTATTTTTGGCTGGAATTAAATACCCATACTCTACATTGCAACGGTTTCAAGACAATCAAAGCAGCGATATTGATAACATACTTATCTATATCACTATAGAATTTGAACGAGTAATGTTTTCGTCATTCACGAGAGGACTATGTCAAGAGCAACACAGTAACATAACAGTGGAAAGTATTTAAATTGATTGATTGTGATCATCGAGTGGTGCAATTAATAAAGAAATCAAGAATATATCGTATCAATTAAGCAAGAAGAATTGTCGTAGGTGAAGTAGAGGTACACTCCGATACTACATCAATTTCAATGAACTTTTGTAACACATTAACCATTTTTCTGTAACTTACTTAAGTATTTAAGAATTTTAAGGAAAGATGAAACAAAAGCGCCACGTTTACTGAAGAGACCGTCATACGAAACGTTATCTTTTTTATGTATATCAAAAAATTCTTTAATATAATAATCAAATAACTTAGGAATGTGTTGGAAGTGTTTTGCTGTACGAAAATAGGTTAATAAACATTTAAAAACTTTCAAACTTAAAAAATGGTTAAACTTGAATTATATTGGAATTTCTATTTTTTATGGAATAATGTGCAACATGTTAATACAGTGAGCAAAAAATATCATTACGCAGAAAGAAACGAGATTCCTCCGACAGAATTGTTTAAAAAATATGAAATTGCAAAAGTGTTGCTTTAGTTTGAAACTGTTTCATTTTAGTTCGCGTGACAAGAACAGTGAGGACGGGGTAACGTCGACAAAGCTCCAATTAGTTCCTCGTAAAAAAATTATAAATATATTGGAATTTCACCAAATTTAATGTGCGTGCAATGTTAGCGCTTGGGCGTTATATTACATTGACAAGTATCTTCATACTTTGGACAAATGGGATGGATAACGAAGAGGTTGTGGAGAGGGCATGGCAGGATACCACGTTAATTTATCAGATTTGGCCTAGAGGATTCCAAGACAGCGACGGCGATGGTGAAGGTGATCTGAAGGGTAGGTCGCATAAACTAATAAGTAGAAATTAAAATTATAGTAAGATTTCGTCATTCAGATATAAAGTTGTGAAAAATATTTCTTAAATATTTTTCTAATTAATATATTTATGAATGTATTATACTATTATAATATTAATTTGTAGGTATTATTAGCCGACTTGATTACATCGAGGATCTTGGAATTGAAACGATTTGGTTGAATCCTATTTATCCTTCACCGTTAATCGATTCTGGATATGACGTTTCTAATTATACAGATATAGAGCCCCTTTTCGGTGATTTGAGTGATTTCGACAATCTAATGCAAAAGGCACATGATCGAGGTATAAAATTGTTTCCAATGTGTGACATACTTTAATATTACTTTTGTAATCACAGTTTAATTGCTATAATGCTTTTATTGTCAATTTCTTTTAGGATTGAAAGTTATGTTGGATATTATTCCTAATCATTCCAGCGATCAGCACGAATGGTTTGAGTTATCGGCAAAGAATGTCGAGCCATATACTGATTATTATATCTGGGCTAATGGTAGCATCGATGAGAATGGCCACAATATTCCACCAAATAATTGGGTACATTTTTCTATTATTTTCTTCAATACAATGTACAATCTTTTTAGATCGTTTTTATGAAGATTTTTTAAATAAAATTATAATAATATAACAAGATTTCAGATAGAAGAGAAAAATTATCTCGTAAGAATTAATACATTTTTAAATTTAAATCTAATTTGCAAACAACAGCAAAGATATTCTTGGTAATACAAATCTTTTTATAAATTTTTGTGCAGATAAGCACATACAGCGATGAAGAAGGCTCTGCATGGACATGGCATGATGGAAGACAACAATGGTACTATCATAAATATCACAGTTCTCAACCGGATCTTAATTTGAGAAACGAGAAAGTGGTTAAGGAATTAATGGTAATAGATAATAACTTGAAATATTTACTCATAATTTTGGAAATCTAAATAAAAAGTGAATTGAAAGTAAAATATCAATCAAATATTCAATATATTTACATTCTTACGTATTAATTTTAACAATATACAATATATTACACTTCGAATTTAATTTATAATAATTAATATCTATATTTTACAATATCTATTTAAAGAATAATTAATAAATTCTTAAAAATAGTTCTTATTCTTTGTAATGCAATGAATCTGTAAATAATTCAATTTTCTGACAGGGTATATTCGACTTTTGGTTGGCAAGAAACGTCGATGGTTTTCGAATTAATGCAGTACCTTATTTCTTCGAAGACGAAGCTTTAAGAAATGAATCCTTTGCGGGAGAGGGTACTTATACTTTTGGTCTTCCTGAAAGTACTGCGCTTCTTTATGTATTTCGTGAACATATCGAAAGCTGGGTATCAAGAAATAATGCCTTATCAAAGTATGATATCTAAAGATGCTTTATTTTTAAAAAAATATTACTCTAATATACTTATACTATACTATTAACATATTGTATTATTATAACGTTATATGTATTAGTTGTTAATATAATTTAATAATATTAGATTGTTAGTCGCGGAGTCGTACGATACTTCTGATGATAATTTATTGGCGTATTACGGCAACGGCACGCACAAAGGAATTGCACCGTTTAATTTCAAATTTATTACACATATTCATAACAGCAGCTACAGCGATGCTGGTGATATTAAATACATTTTAGAGAAATGGCTTAAATCTCTTCCAAAAGACACCAAGACTAATTGGGTGGTGAGAATGTTATATATTAATGAATTAAAATTAATTTTATTAATAAAATTCACAAAAGTTTTATTTAATCTATAATTTTATGATTTCCGTCGGATATCTAAAAAGTTAGCATGTCTTTACTAACAAACTTAATTATTTTTTTATAAATGTAGCTTTCAAATCATGATAATTCAAGAGCAGCTACAAGAATCGGACTTAACCGAGTCGATGGCCTTCACATGCTTAGTCTTCTGCTGCCTGGACAGGCATACACATACTACGGCGACGAAATAGCCATGTTGGACTCAGAAATATTTTGGAGCAGAACCATTGATCCGATGGGTTGCGCCAGAGGCATAAACGAATATAAATCTTTTTCAAGAGATCCAGCGAGAACTCCTATGCAATGGAATTCCGAAATTTCAGCTGGTTTCTCTACAAATGAAACCACATATCTTCCTACTCATCCTGATTATGTTTATAGAAACGTAGAAATACAACAAAGTAAAGAAAGAAGCAATTTGAAGACGTACAAGGAGCTAGCTGTTCTAAGGAAAGAGCCAGTTTTTATAAATGGAAATTACGAATTTGCAAATCTGAATAATAATCGCGTATTGGTATTAAAAAGGTTAGCAATATTTGGTATTATAATGAATTTTGCAAACTGTCTACTACAAATTTTATCGGCATAAAAATGTCAGTAAAAAGAGAAATCTTTAACAGAATAAATTAATATAAAATAAAACCAATAAATTTATTGCTTAAAATAGCTTAGATAATTTTATACTGTTGATTTTATACCGCAAGTTTTTGTAATTGTTTCTTTTATTGTTAACCAGGTCTTTGAAGAATCATCCAGTGTACATTGTTGTAATTAATTTGGGTATACGGACAGAAGAGATTAATTTGACTTCAATTTGTGCTAATTTAAAAGATACTTTGGATATTATTGTTGCTTCTAGCAATGCAATTGGCGTCACGTAAGTTGTGCTAATATATTTTAAAGAAAAAGTAACAATATTTTAATTTTTAAGGACTGTAAATAATATCGTTATCTTTGAAGCACAAATACAGTAAAAACCTCTTTATAAGATAGAATCGCGAATCACCTTGTAACTTCGGTGTACATTTTTAGAGGCGCTGTTTCACGGGACAAATTTACATTAACAGCAAATGCTGCGCTTGTATTAAAAGGCGAAGAAGAACAAGTCACAACTAAACCAACTACTACGTGTATGTTTTTAATATATTAGCATAAATAAGTAAATATATATTAATAAACTTTTATTATATAAATTAATTCATTAATTTTAATTTATGCACGCGCACACGTGTATAATATAAAGTTATCAGTTTCACTAATTTTATATAAATATATTGCATTAATATTTATCATATTTATTATAAGAAATTTTCTGGTAATAATAATTTACTGTTTTATAACCAACATTATTAGAAGGAAGTCGCCTACTGTGAGATAGGCTTCTAATAGAGATAGCAGGTTTTCAACATCCAAATTCAATCATAAATCTTTTCGCAATGACATGATCCAACAATGAATTTTCCATTAAACAAATTTCACTCCAAAGGCAATAAATTCACGATGGAACCAACAAATTATGCCTATTAATTTAGCAGAAACCCCGCCGTCTTATATCAGGAGTCTATCTGATAATAGGGGACTTTCCTCTACTTATTATAAGTAGCGACGGAAGAAATGCTTCTGATTCTACCAAAAATAAACTTTTTACAGCTGAGGCAACCACTCCTGTAAATCATACAACCGAAAGTACAACAGAAAAAGAAAAGCGTTCCACCTCGATAAAACCAGAGACATCTGAGAAACCTGATAATGCAATGTCAATTGGTCCTTCATTTTTGCTCATGATAAGCACCGTTATAGTTATTTTATCGTGTAGATTTTAAAAATAATAATAGCTGATACGAGAGATCGATCCAATAAAAATAAGAATGTTAGATATACTGTAAGCCTAATCAACTTAAATACGCGATGATCAGATATGGAATGTCTTATATCTTTTATCTATAAGTGTTTTGACTAATTTAACTTAATTTAATATAACTAATAATTAGATTTCTGACCAATTATTAACTACATTCTTTATACTTCGGTTTTCGCCATGCAATAGCAATGGTTACACTCGTGCCGTTATGTATTTCTTGCATTTGTTGCTATTTGTTACAGTTACAGTATTTGAAAGAACGTACCTGCTGAATTTTTAAAACCATCTGTATATTTAGTATTTTTTAAGTTCTCTCATTCAGATGGAACGTTAAAAAAAGACTTATTTCCACGAAGCAGAAAATCCATATTAGTCACAGAAATCCATAAAAGGAGACGCGGAAAAATGCACAGAAAAAAAGGAGAATCCTCGATTTACGCAGAGCTCGCAGAATGTGACCATTGCAGCAACCTACATTGATCTATGTATGACCAATCGCGGTGTTGATCAAATGCGGAGCGAATGTACTTGATCCATGTAATAGATCGGATGGCCGTTGTCTTATACGTTCCCACCAGAAACAAAGGATAGAGGCATACATAAAAATCGTTTATCTCTGCATCGACAGGTTCTTATTATTCTCATCCTTTCATCTTTTATCTCGTTAATATCTAAAGCGACGATAAACTACGCGATGACAAACGTATTAATTTCATCCGTAGGTTTCGTGGAATCGATTTCATTCACATAATAAGTATTGCTTTTTTTATGCATCCTTGGCAATGTTAATACATAAAATATGACATAGTGACACGGGCTCAAATATCAGTTTAGGACAATCAGTTTAAGAAGATTAAGTCAACCACTATTTCGCCGGCAAGTTGTCAGTTAAAAAAAAGGATCTATATCTTCCTAAAGTAATTTCATGTTACGAAGAATATCATGAAACCGGTTTGCTCACCCTAATAGCCTAGGTCCTTAACCTTCTCACAACGACAATGATTTAACTGCAGCCGAGCTCACGAGATAAGCCCATACACTTTTCAACATGCTGTACGCGTGACGAATATTAAGTCTCAAAAGAGGGAGAGTGCTCCAACACACAGAAATTGCGCGTGCTAATTGCGAGAAATTAAATATGGAAGACATTAAGCGGCCGTCGGACGTTCTCTATTGTTAATCGCATCAAAGTTCAAGCTCATATTGATATCTGCTACTTCGTCGTGTTCGTCTCATTTTGTTTAAATTAAATGTGTTCGCTAGAATTCAACAAGATAACTTGAATAATATTGCAATTTTCACAGCGATATAAAATATTAGTTTATCTCATACATCGTCATATTACATTTCAACATCCAGCTTATCCGAATTTTAACCGAAACCGCCCAAGTAAAGCTCACTTCGAGATAGCACGTATGTACATTTTCAAGACTTAAAATTCTGCAAAATTTTCTACGTTAAATATTTAAAGAATAAATCAAAATTTAGAATTCAATAGATGTTACAATTTTTTATCCTCTTTATCTATCAAATTCGTGGAAAGGCTACTAATTAATCGGTCTGCGTACAAGAGAAAAACAATTCCGCGTTAGTGACCCGGACTGACATGTAGCGGTCAAGGTAACGAGAACAACACGCTTATTATACACATTTTAATTTTCCACAATTCTTCCTTCTTTCACTTCGTACAAAAATTGTTACATTTCATATTATTTTTTATTTCATATACGAACGATGAGGATTAAAAATACCGAGTGGAACTTACGTACGATGAGCAAACACTTTCTCCAGCGATAAAATTCGTCTCCAATGTTGCGTCTTTGAGGCAAATTCCTATCATATATTAGCACATCAATTTGTCGTACTAAACTCTCAGATTCGTTCCTATAGGTATCAATAAATTCCGATATATTTCCGGCATCTGGTTATACATATACTTAGGATGAATTGATTCAAGCAAAAGTATTTGCATAACTCAAAGTTGATTTAATAGGTCTGCCCCTTTTACTTGCACTTTCTATATCTTTCCACTTATATTGGAACATTATTTTTTATTGATCGTATACGCATTACCCTGATTTATTTTAATACAAAATTTTCGTAAGACATTTAATTATCAAGAAATCTGGTACATGAGCCAAGTTGTGGAAAAGCACTACTTGTTCAAATTTTTGTATTATAAAAATGGACTCTAGACTTAAAGTGACTATTAAATTTGATGAAGTGAAAAGAATTTTTTTTAAGTAAAGAGGATAAAAGTTACATTAATTCTCGAAATTATAATGTAACGTTAATGAATTACTCGAACTGCAACAAATAGTTTCACAAATAGAATCAACCGGTTAAAATAGGTATTCTAAAAAATAAACTATCGATATTGAAAGATATCTCAAGTTTTTCAACTAAGATCAATGTTAAAAGTAAAATGTAAAATTTGATATCTAACGTGTTGACTTTGCAGATATTCGTAGGTTCAACAACTTGAAATTAATTATGTATCGCGATGTTTTATAAGGTATTTCACACATATTCCGCATTTTATTTTAAAAGTCTGCAATTAAAATTCATCTTAAATGTTAATTTGGCTAGAAAGGATGATTACTTTATGTTTCCATGATATCGCTATTATATGAGACATTTTTTCTCTACTCACAATCAGTGAAACCTCATTTTCGAATATGTACATATACGCGCCACAGTAATAGTAAACTAATGATCGAAAAATATTGAATGGCATTGCTTGCCTTTCCTCATTTGAATTTTCGGATTGAGCACGTCAATAAATTTTCACATTTGCTATACTCTTATCTAGATAAGCTTTCTTGAAAGCAATACTTGCAAAAATATTCAAGTATCTAATAATAAATAAATATAATAACCTGCCCTCATATATTACAAATTACAAGCATTTAATTCAACCCTAATCTGGAGAAATATATAATAATTATCGTAAATCTATGTCTTCACTGTTAAAATATCTTTAAGATTTGCACATCTGTAACAGTAAAGCAAGCAGGAAACGAGTGCACTCTAAACGACACGTAAATATTCATATCGGTGCACTGACATCGTGAGGAACTGCCTTACGCCAGTGGCATGCGAAAAGCGTAGCTGCTACTGGAATGGCAACAAGCGCTGAAGATTTTTGTGGCGAGACTCAACGTCGTGTCTTTCTCATACCATACTAGCGATACTAGCTATAAAAGATATTCTATATTTAACAAGTTTACCTTTTATTATTTTTACAGAATCTTTGATTAACGTAAAATTACCTTTCCCCTATCAAAAACATTGAAAGCGTAATAATTTTAATGGCTGAGCATAACATTAACGATTGAAAAGAAAAACTTTAGAAATATAAACAGACTGATAAATCTTTTTCAACTTGAAGTCGGCCATGCAAAACCGCAAATACTTTGCCTATTCTATTCCACGCGAGGATTATGTTCAATTTCTTTTTTAGATATTTAGATGCTTCCAGATATCATTTTATATAATACAAAGAGCGCAGAAAATTATCTATTTTTAAAAAATTAAAAATAAAAATTTTGCCCAGTTTCTCAGGCACATTCTCTTAAGTCAGAAACATCTTACGCATTTGCTTGAGATTGATACAATCTACATATGTGCTACAACATGAACCGCATCATTTTGCAGTTGAAAAATGACACTTTCGTGGACGAAGTTAATTGTCTAAATAAATTACCTTCCAAAAGGACATCGTACACGTCACAGTAAGAATTTAATATCTCGCTCGGTAATAAAGTGACTCACTTTTCGTCTATCTCATCATCACTGAAATTAAATTAAATCTGAATTTCTGTAAATGCTTTTACAATTTGTTAACAAATAAAATTACAAGCTTCTGTTTAAGTAATTACAATCTTCTTTTAAAATTGGATGACTAAACAGGGTGAGGAAAAAGTATTTATTATATTTGATATTAAAATATTATTTCTTGTACAATAATGCAAATATTTATTTAAACTCAAGAAATGAATAAAATTATAGAATTTGAATATGTTGGAGCTGATCTGTGCATTATTATTTAAATGTTAATTTGTTTGTCATCTCTCGAAACATCGTTTGACGGCAACACAACGCAAGTAACTATAATACTCTATTGCTCCAATAATAATAATACACGTTAGATTTCAAGGGGTTATTTCTAAACCTTGATGAACCTGTATTGTGCGATAAGTCACTTAGAAATGAGATACCTGACAAGCTGGGATTATCCAGAATATGTACAAAACCTTAGATAAAAATTTAAACAATCACATGAAAGACATTGAAAGCGTTCTTCGAATCCAATTAAACGCCATGACCCACGTAGCTAATTGATTCTTGTTAATCATCTTGACATTTGCCAAGAATTTACGCCACCACCGTTAACCGTATATGGGGAATTTACTTGAATTAATTCGAGATTAATTCATCTGGTTGTTCAGCAAGCGTGGGAGCCATAAACCGAAGAAGCCTAAGTGCACTTACGTAAGAACGCAACTGAACTACATTTCGAACAGCGTATTTTTAATCGAGGTCTATTCGCCATTTAATTAACAGAGACTAGAAAGAGAGTAACAATTCGCCGCAACACTTTACCACAAGTGGTATCGAACATTACACAACTACTTTAACCCTTTTTACGGCAGGAACAAAAAATTCTTTAAAAAATTGTTCCATTCAAAAACTAAATTATCACTATTAATTTGAGACAATTAAATATACCAAAGTAACAAAATAATAAAATAACAAAATGCTTTTAATATATTTTATTACTGATTGCTTTTGTCAATGTATCACAAGTACTTCTCATGTTTTATGAAAAACAGGACATTGTAAACGATGTCATTCCTAAAGTAAATGATAAAAAATGCTTGCAAATATTTATAAATTCAAATTACGAGATATAACAATAAAGTTGACAATTAAATAGTACGTCAAAGTAATTATATCTTTAGCTATGGTTAAAAAATTATATTTTATAAAAAAGAAAGGTAAGAAAGGGGAGACAAAAGGAAGTATAAGAGCGAATCTCAAGAAACTGAAACAAGAAGAATAGGGAAAAGAGAAGATAGAGCGAGGATGAGACCTGTTGGGGGGTCGGCGATCCCCACCCTGTATAAAAGTCTTTTTCTGCCAGCGACGTGTTCAGTTCGAACGACGCGCTGCGTGCGATTATCTCTGGGGATCATCCTCGTCGTCATTTTAGAGAGGCTGCGAACAATGACCTACTGAAAAAGGATCTCGTCAAGGATGTGGCCTGCTACTGCAGCCCTCTTCATCTTGGTACGTCGTCTTCAGTACTTCTTAATACACAGATCCTAGAATTTAACTCATTTAATAATGTATTTGCAAAAACTGATTAATTTTAACGGAAGCAGAACTTGATCAAATCCGATTTCCACAAGATACCAAATAGTATTATTAAAAATTATTATTAGAAACTTCCCTTGAATTAATTAGTTGCAAATTTAGTGTTATCTGGGGTAATATATTTTTAACCGTTTGCTATGAACCGTTTGACTTCTTCAACTAGGAGAAAGATGTAATAAAGAAAATCAGAAAATTATGACCTATAAAATCTATGCATCAATTATCTATCAAACATAACCGTTTCTTTTAAACAATTTTCTCAAAATAATTCTTCAAAATAAAATTAACAATTAGTCCATGAAATTAAAATATTTAATAATTTTATTAAAATATTTTAGTAATAATAATACAAATAAATTTCAAATTAATTATTTTTTATGTATTCAAGACATAAATTTCAAAATCAAATTTAATATTAATCTTTTACTATACATATACTATTTATATGAGACGTAAATCATGATTGTTAATGTGAAATTTATGTATGTATATATACGTAAATTTGTCATTGTATCATATATTAAATAAAAATAGTATATATAAACATATTAATTTTTATTTATGATTCACATTTTTATAATGTCTGCATGCAGTTGAAATCTTTGCTATCGATAAAGTCTATTGGAAATTCGATCCAAGTAGCACTGAGATATGTTAATGTAAAATATTCTTATGTTAATGCCTCGTAGATACTTGATACACGTTTCGCTACCTGTTGCGTGTATTACTACTGTATATACTTGATATATGATACATTACATATTCCTTGACATGCAACTCATTTTTTACTGCTTGCTATTTGATTCTTAATTGTTATTATATAATTTTTAATAGTATATGTATTAATGTAGGTGTCATGTTACGTTTAATTAAAATTAAATAAGAGAATATATATAAAAAATGTATCTAATAAAAATATATTTAATTACAAATATGAAAAGGCGCATGCAAATGCCTTCGATGAGTCCGTCATTCAATTTTATATTAATACTAATACTATTACATAGTAATAGTATTATTTATGACATGTAATTATTACACGCGATAGAAAGCAGCACTGATTATCTTGGTAATAGCGTCGTGACTCGTTATCTAATCGGGACTTCCATTCATATTGACACTCATTCAACTGAGAATGTCGTTGCACTACATTTCATTCATAATTTATTTCAATGCCGTGGCATTGCAGTGATATTGTATAACATCGCATATAATACATTATTTCGATTCATCCTAAACTTATTCGCAATTTTTCCACTACACTAACAATTTTCTAAAACGTTTCCTAACATGTAAAACTTCCGTTTATTTCAAATATTTTTCCTAAGCAAAATAACATGAAAATAAAGTAATATTGAGTAATTCAATCTACACGTGTGCACGCACACATATCCATACACACACACACACACATACAAAATAATCGTTTGTATTTCATAATCATTCTATTTTATAAATCTATTTTTATTAACATGCATTTAGAAAAATTTGTTATACTTTCTCTATGTCAGATAAATAACTACTACTATATAAATTTTTACGAATTAATTTGCACAAGTATCTATAAATATATAACGAATTCTTATTTATCATTTAATTTAAATAGGCTTTGAAAATTATGCAATTATCAAGATGTCCCATATTGAAAATTAAAATGTAGTTTAGGCAAACAAATAATAAACGAAATTAATATACATACTTTAGAGCTATTCCACGTGGTACTTTAGTTATTTTAAATAATGTTTCTTTCTCTCTTTGTCGTTTTTACTCATAATTATCAGTTACAAAGCAGACACGTTTTTATGGAAAAGTTTATCGCCAAAAGAAGTAAGCGATTCAGTTGTCGCCGCAAGATGTGTCATTCACGTATGTGAAACGGAGTTTTGCCTTAGGCGTACACATGTCTAATCTGGAAACGCTTAAAATAGTAAACGCACGTTTCTGTATAATAGATCCCCGCGTCATTGAATTCCTGCGTGCCATTGCCAATTTAATTGAAATCTTGATGTAACTGATATCACAAGATTTACTGTCAAGAGAATTTATTACTTTTAAATGCCAGTTGAAAAATATACATGTTTATTATATAATATATTTAATAATGTAATAATCGTTTAATATAACAATCCAAAAGCTTAAAGAATATGTAATAATAAGATAAAATATTTTCCAGGTCCACGTTTTATTAACAAATTCCAAATTATAGTTTTCTTTCTTTTCTTGCTATCTTATTTGAAAAATTATTAATTGCTAAAACTTAATTCTACAAAGAAGAAAATGGTTTATGGATTATTCGTAATTCAAGATATTGAGATTTAATAGAATTCTTCAACATCAAGATACCAGAAGAAAAAAGGACAAAAGTTAAGAGTAACAATTAGGTTTCATTCATGTAGTTCACGCATTTAGTATACGTTTCTAATTCTTTAAGGCACATATTACTTCAGCAAACTTGCTTGCCAGTTGATACTTTTTTATGCAATTGCGATAGAAAATGTTAGATATTATTAAGTAACTGCTCTAATTCTCCTTATGGTAATTAATTTATCAAAGTATTTTTTAACACAATGCGATCTCACTGATTGTAAAATCGATGCGATTGACATACAATTATGTACCAGAGGCTTCGCCCCAGGCTAAATCACTGGTCCCTTACGCAACTACTTACAGGTGACTTTCACTAGAAGATGATCCGGCCCCTGCGTGTGATTCATAAGGTGATACAGCTTTGACCATTTGACTGGCAGATTCGCCACGAGCAATTAAGATATCCGGCTGCATCAAATGCCATCGTATATGTCTTTAGTCTTGAACGCATATTTCGTTTACTTTGATTGATTCTTGATAATATTCAGCCTTGCAAATACTACATGCAATTGTAAATATTAGTTATCTGCAATATTAACTTCTTCACTTTTCATAGAAAAAAACTATATTAATAAAATTACTATAAATGAAAAGATTGACACAAGTAAAAAATATACAAATTAAAATAATCAGCGTTAACAAAATAAAATAGACCTAATTAAATTTATTAAAATTGTATTGCATAATAATTTATTTAAAAAGATATTTATAAATGTTTTATAACATACTATATGCACATTTTAAATATATGACATGTAATAACAATTTCATAGCAAAGCAGAAAAAATGAAAAGAATTATCGTTATAAATATTAACATTATAACAAATTGTTGTTAAATCTAACCAAGATGTTTTTAAATTAAATTTCCCCTAGATTGTAAAAAATGTTTAATGTTGTAATGATATATCAGTATTTTAATTACAATAATTTTATTATAATTTATAATTTATAATTAAAATGTAATATGATTTTATTTGCAATAATTGCATTATCATTGAAATAATAGATAAAAATATATAAATAGAAGAATAACACGATATTACAACTATATATAATACTGTAGAATTTATATAATTACATATGCTAACTGAATCAAAATACCGTGAAAGCAATTTGATCTATCAGCATTTTAAAGAAAAGGTTGAATAGTGACTTCTAAGATAGTAAAGATCGCCTTGCACTCTTTGCATAATCAAGGAGAGTTGTAATCGTGTAAGGTTAGTCTTCGATTGAAATGATAGGGCAGTCACTTTTTTGATACTCCTGGTGGATTCCCGGCGTCCCTGAACGGAATCCTGATTCTCGCATTCTCTCTCTCTCTCTCTCTCTCTCTCTCTCTCTCTCTCTCTCTCTCTCTCTCTCTCTCTCTCTCTCTCTCTCTCTCCTTCTTCTTCTTTTTTCATTCTCTTTCCCTTTTTAGATGACAAAGTCACAATAAGTAAACACAAGATTGATATATTAGAAAGTCGCAGAAAGATGCAATCAAATTAAATTGCACCTTTCCAATTTATTTGACTTCTGAATATTTTATGTTTATTATAATATACATAAAGTAATATCAGCTTGACATGAAAGTACGAAATATTGATGCTAAAACTTAAATAATTAATTAATTAAGATCAATAAAATAAGATAATCTAATATAGTAACAAAAACCAAGTGAAATCAATCAGTTAATTAAAAAAAAGCGTACATTAAGGGTAGTTTTGACTAGGTCTGAAATATTGGTTTCATATTACGTATATTAGCTGCGTATGTGAATAGTTTGACTTACGACGTCGTATAAATTAACATATTTTATCGTACAACTGATGACTCCACAGGTGTCATTCCTTTTTTCAAAACAAAAATTGCAACTGATATATTCCGATAAGATTAATAATTTACAATATCGTAATTACGCAGAATAAAATTTGACCCCTATTGTCACTGCTATAAGCGCCGTTTTCACGAATTTATAAATTTTTTTATTCAATATGAATTTTACTTTCAGCTTTAAATAAATTCATCTTATATCTAAATAAACGTACGGTACATGTACGGTAGTACTTTGAAAGACTGTCATAGACATATCCAACGAACAAATCGGCATCGTACTTCCTTCATATTTCCTCCATAATTTTTAACGACTAATATAAATTTTCGTGCATGCTGTATTATTAGAATATTTTTAATAAAGAATTACACTAGCAAATTAGAAATTCAACGTTTAAACGTCATTAGAGTTTACAGATTATTTATAGAATCTTTTGGGATGTTAATCTTCTTTAAAATTCTTTTAAAACTCTTTTTTAACAATAGAAGTCTTTTCTACAGAGGACTTCGAATAACATATTGCTTTATCTCTTTGAATCTAAAGATCACGGTAGGATTGCCTTGAAAAGCAAACAGGCAGCTTGGACGCTATGGTCGCTTTGACTGAAACGATCTTGCTATTGTCCACTAAAATATCGCGACATAAATACCGTAGGCATTAATCGTCACGGCAACATTTGACGCTGCAAGTGCGCGTGGAGAAGGGTTTAGGTCGGGAGCTAGCATATATTAACCTTTCGTTATATAGTCTGTCAACCCGGGACTGAAAGAAAGAAGACGACGAAGAGGAGTCCCGTTCGCGTAGCCTTCTTGGAATCGCGACTTTCCCTTCTCGTGGGTGGAACAACGGTTGAGATCATCAATCGCGACCATGGATCCTGGCCAAACCTAACTTAGTCGATACCAGGATACGTGCCACTTTTGCGCTGTATACGCGTGACAGCCAAATCAAATGTGTATTATTGGAATATTAATGATTACTAAAGTATCTATTAGAGGATCAAATTTTTTGGAGTCTAAATAAAATATTAATATTGTAAAATGGACCGGCACCGTAACATTTTCACACAAAATAAAAATAAAAAGTATATCTATACATATGTACAAATAATACGTAAAGAAATTTCAGGTAAATTGTTAAGCTACAGTATAATAAAATGTGTAACAATATTGTGTGTGTGTTTGTTTGTGTAAACAAATATATCACATTTTATATGTTTCTATTGAATGTCTATTTAGAGTGTATAATTATTAAATTTACATTTTAATTAAGAAACTCTCTCTTTCTCGGTAAATGTCGTACGTCGTACGTCGTCATTTAGGGATGCGGATACGGCAACGTAAGTTTCTGACAGATCATCGTTATTTTTTCGCAACAGCAGTCGGCGACATCCTTACGAGAATATAGATGTCCCGTTATTATTAAGTCATAAGGCTTGTCGCTGATAGAACAGCAAGATGGGATGGGCAAGCTTTCGAATTTAATATCAGATGCGTCAGATTTTTTTCTCCAAGTTAGTTCATCCAAAAATAACGATATTGATACATCGATTACATAACTGTGCTATCTGTTTTTACTTACATAATTTAACTCTTACAAAATTATTATAATGTTGAATAACACGAGCTTTACAAGTAGTGATGTAATAATTTTGCAAATAACAGTTAAAGAAAGTACAGAAATTTGTAAATCTTCCTAAGTAGACAGGACTGTGAGGCCTGATTGATAACTCAAGATAGTCTCAGCTAGAAACAGGATAAAAGTACAATATATGATGCATCTTTGACTCGGGACACGATCTTGATGTTTTAGCAATTGTAAAACTGCCATTATAAGTCATTACATTTTTTATATATTTTTATACACTCATATAATTTTGTGTGTATGTACACACACACACACGTACACAATTTGTTACAAGTTTACTTAATTAAATTATTTGTCGTACACATTTAAGTTTAATAAGATTGTTTTTAATCTACCTTTCTAAGTATACGAGCTCTAGTCGAAATACAAAGCACTATATTATTTTCATGAACTATATCTGTCTACACTTCTACAGTTAAAAGACCAAAGATATTTAAAGACTCTAAAGTAGGTTAAATAAATTTGGATTTTTACGATCAGAATTCAAGTGAATTCAGAAGCTGAACCGTTTTCTCCGTTACGTATTTCGTATGCAGAAAAGGATGCGAATACCGTACGAATACTTATAAACTCCCGAAACGTGGGTGCATACGGTCATTGTTTTATATTATGCATATACATATCGTGAACGAAAGATAAATATGCGAATCACGGGTACACTGTAAACTTGAAGAAAAGATAAATCTGCGTAACTCAATAAAACTCGGTCTTAATTAAATCGGAACTCAATTTGATGCATACGTCATGAAATTACGTCATCACATTCATGTGAATGGATCATATGTAATAATACCAATACTCTTAATATTTGCGTGCGTGCAATGTGTCTTTATGTACATATATATAAGATTCTTCTTAAATGATTATCTCATGCAGATTGAAAATTGAATAAGAATTTCTGCTGTTAGTCATTGATCGCTTTCGACTTTCGCTTATATAGAATGGGTAATTAATTGAGATCAGAAACGGTTATAGAGAGAGTTATAGTTTGTCCACTACATCTGAGAAGTGAAAGTACATTACTTCATCACAACGCAATAGCAACATAGCCAAAAATAAAACAGATTCGTTACTGATAAATTTCTTGCTAAAAGATTTATACATTGATTTTGTTTTAAATTTTATATTTTTTATGTTACCCATAAACATAGTAAAAATGTATTTAATATTTCATTATAAGTTTAAGATTCATATATTTGAATAACAAAACTTTTCGTACGTTAAAAATTTTATATGTTAAAAATTGATGGAACAAAACATAAAGACACAAATATCGCAAATATCTCATATTATTTATTTTCAAATATATTTTTTCCATACATATATTAAATACTATACACAAAAGCATTAAAAGATTGTTTGGAGACAAAATGTATTAGATTTTTGTAAATTACTCTCTCTCTCTCTCTCTCTCTCTCTCTCATATTCTCGTTTTCTTTTTCTTATATTCAAGTTATAATTTATATTTAATATACTTTATACTGCGTGTTACCAGTTGCACAATGTTTGGAAAATTAATAGCTGAGAATTACAAATCGCTCTAACTGCAGAAACTGGAAATGCCGACTATGATATTTCACGATGCGCGCTTGCAGATCGCATCAAATACTTAATTCTACCGACTGATATTAAAGGCCAACTGTGTTTTTAAACACAACATGATAATTACATCATGCCTCATTGGAAATGTCACGAGCCTTGACAAAGCAAATTATTGCGATTAGCAACTGTTTCTTATTAATATAAAAGTTCTTGTATAAAGATAACGTAATATATATTTTAGTGAATATAGTTTACGCGAATTTATCAATATAAATAATTATAACTTAATAAATAAACTGAGAAATATCACTTCTATATAAAACACAAACAACTTTGAATTTTTTATCATGAACTTAAAACACTAACTCTTAGGGTCATTAGAATCATTAACAATATTATTAATGCAAATATTTAATGTGACATTATCAGTTTTAATAAACGGAATATTTTCTTCTACTTTTAACGCAAACTTTAATTTGTCTTGCCATCTATTAAGCTTGATCCTTTAATTCATTGAATAAGTCATTCTTTGATACAAGCCATATATGCAACTATCGATAATATTCCTTACTCTTTCGTGAAACGTTAAATATAATTTGTGAAGATAAGAAATTAAAAATAAATAGAAAGTGTTAGATAAAGAACATTAATAATTATATAGCATATATATTTGACTTATTTCTGCTTTACGTATGTGTGTAAATTAGATTTATTTCTGCTCTCTAAATAATACAAACAAATTATTTTTTAGGTGATTGCTACTTCGATGTCGCAACTCACTCAGGAATTAACAAACACCAATCAAGATGGCGAAGTAATTTTGAGTATCAGTGATGAACAAAAAATTCAGTACTTAAGTCAAAATTTTGAATCAGGTAAATAAATAATTAAATTTAGATTAAAAAAGGTCGGACCATAAAAAATTTAATACAAATAAAACGTTAGAATTTCAATACATATACTTCATTGTTAAGTATAAAATTCTACTTAAAATAGGACATAAAAATTATGGTCTTTTCTCTTCCATATGGTAAAGATTTAAGTATGAAAAATTGCGATTGCAACTGATTATTACACTTTATAGATGCATACAAATATGGTTACGATGTCAATCCACACGGTCAATTCCATCATGAAACACGTGGCCCACATGGGATCACCTATGGATGTTATGGCTACGTTGATCCTTTTGGCCACCTGAAAGCAACGTTTTACATCAGCGACGGATGGGGTTATCGCGTTGTTCAGCCAGGAAAGGATGTGGAACTTTTCCTTCACAAGCATGAACATCATGCTGGCGGAGACAATCATGATCATCACGAGCATCACGGTGTAATTACACCATGGCGAGATTTACATTTTCCTGCGGTGTGTGCACAATATACAAATACGAACGTTCCACCTGTCGGAATATCAAGTGGAGGAAGTACGTAAATAAAAATATATAATATTCAGACAAATTCGCATATACCTATAGGTACATAATCACATATAAATGTGATGCTAAAATAAATATGTCGTTACTTTTTATAAGCAGCACCTATCGGAAGCGGATCAACGATAGAAACAATACCGACTCGACCTCCTTATAAGCCTGATTCATCTGGTATAAATTCAAAATAATATACTATATTCCATTATTAATACTCAAAATCATGCCATAAGATATATGTATACGTTTAGATTGATTATACATAAAAAATTTATTACATTATTATTATATTCTGCATATACACTGTATATACATTAAAATGACAGTTTTAAAATGACATATTTGACATTGTACCTTTTCGCAAAAGTTATAATTTAGTACTTTAATATAAATTATGTCACCATTTTGATGTTCAAATTTAACATTAAAGCTTCCAACGAAAAGATAAGCGACATTTAAGAATCTTCTGGAAAACATAACAGAGACTTTTCCAAATAGTAAATAACAAAATAAATATATAAAAATATAATATTCAAAGAGTATAAATATGTGACATCTTACATATTTGCTTTAGTAACGTAAATTATTTAATTACTTAATATTTTATATCATTTTCAGGACATCCTAATAGACCCACACCAGGAAGACCAGAAAAACCAGGATTACCGTCATATCCTGGACATCCAGGAACTCCTAGCTTTCCTGGCATACCAGGCACACCCGGATATCCAGGAACGCCAGAATACCCTGGGCATCCAGGGACTCCTGGCACCCCTGGTACACCCGGATTCCCAGGAACACCTCCGCATCCTGGACATCCAGGAACGCCATCATATCCTGGATATCCAGGAACTCCTGGCTACCCTGGCATTCCAGGCACACCAGGATTTCCAGGAACGCCGGAATATCCCGGGCATCCAGGAGCTCCTGGCATCCCTGGTACACCAGGTACACCCGGAATACCAGGAACACCAGGCAAACCCGGAACACCGTCACATCCTGGGCATCCAGGAACTCCTGGCTTTCCTAGCATCCCTGGTACACCCGGATTCCCAGGAACGCATCCACATCCTGGACATCCAGGGAGCCCTGGCTTCCCTGGTACACCCGGATTTCCAGGAACACCAAGCAAACCAGGAACGCCTCCACATCCTGAACATCCAGGAACGCCTTCACATCCTGGGCATCCAGGAACTCCTGGCTTCCCTGGCACCCCAGGCACACCCGGATTTCCAGGAACGCCTCCACATCCTGGACATCCAGGAACGCCTTCACATCCTGGGCATCCAGGAACTCCTGGCTTCCCTGGCACA